TTTATTATATTAAAATAATATTAAAAGTACGAAACGCATTATGACGCTTATTCTCCGCATTGACAGGCTTAAACTTGAAATTCTTGATTCTCAATCTCGACGTATCGCAACGCATTACGCATTTTAGAACACTGTCCACGGTTATAAAAAAAAAAAAATTAACACTAATATATGAAAAAGGTTAGTGGGATAAATCCAAAAACACACGACACAAACTGCGATTATCCAACTATAACCCTCTAAACATGTCAACTTTCCATATTATAATTTATTAATTAAGCAATTAGAGGAATAATCTTCCAAAAGTCTCCTATTTACCATCAATCATGCACATGCAAACCGAACACCAACACTAAATCCAATACCAATTGTTACATGAATAAACTACATCATCATCATCATCATCATCATATCATCATTCAATATCGAGGTTCGACCTTATAACTTTATTAATAAGTAACTTAAATCAACTTTAACATGCCCTACAAAGGATTTGATATTATAGCTATTAAAATTTGACCACTAATTTAAATTTTATTTTAAACAGATTAAATTGTTCATTTCATTGAATTATGTCCTTATTTGGTGAGAATTAAAATCAATTTTTTAGTAACTTTTGATAGAAGGTGATGAAATGTGTGGTTGAAAAGTTGTGAGACCTGTAAAATACGTGGTTAAAATTAATCGTTAACTTTGATTTAAATTAAAATCTAAATTTTAATAGTATCAAACGGGGGCTACATGCATCAAGAAAAACATATGCCCATAAAAAGATACCAATCAAAGCCTTTCATAATTTTTGTGATCAAATTTCTATCGCAAAATGTGTCAACTCCTAAAACACACTGAGAGTATTTGTACACTTTCAAATTTCTAATACAAAATCATAGCCCACAAAAATTTTCAGGAAAAAAAAAAACCGATTAATCAAATCACATTCATAAAAGCACAAAAGGAAAAAAAAAATGAAGGAAAAAGAAACAGAAAATATGATCACGCCTTCTCTAAGAAAATTTTCTTCAAACAGTCCATTTCATGATCTTGAAACTTGGATCAACCTTGCACTTCACATCCATCGGCGTTGTCTTCGTCGGCGACTTTCCGGTGGGCACCGATATATTAATCCCATCACAAGTAACCATAATGTTTAGCTTCTTCGTTTTCAACATACTGATTTTGACTTTCATTTTGGTTTCGAGCGTGATTTTGAGCGGCAAATTCTTGTTCTTCAAGCTCGACTTCAATGGAGAAGTGTCGGTGCCATCTGAAAATGGGGAAGAACTTGAAATTAAAGTTCTCAAAGTGGTACTATTTTTGGTAGCTTGAGTAAAGCCCGGAAAAGATCCATCGCCGACAGTGATGTCGCCGGAAAATATTTTCACAGCGATAGGGTCGTAGAGGAAGACAATTTTCTTGTTAGGATTACGTGCAGTGAGAGTGAGGTCGAAGGTCGAGGTGATGGCGGTGTCAGTGAGTTTGAATTTGGAGAGTTGGAGGGTGGAAACTGAGAAGGAAGGGCGGTGGGGGCGGTAAAGGACCCAAAAAATGGTGCCAGCAATGGCGGCGAGGAGGAGGAGGAAGAGGATTAGCATGGTGGTACAAAGACAGATAGAGCAGCAGCAGCTCCGGCTGTGGCGACGCCGTCTAGGTGGTTGAGGGCGGTACATGGGGCGGGTGTTGTTGTATAATTGAGCTTTGTTTGGGTTGGAGCCACCATTTGCGGCGGGGGCGGGGGCGCCCCCGTTGGCCTTCGGCTTGGCTGATGGGTACACTCTATCTGTCATACTGCGTGATTATGTAAACTCTCTCTCTCTCTCTCTCTGAGTTTGATTAGGGTTTTGGATTATGTAAATATATAGCAGGAGTTGGTGATATATATAGAGAGAGAGGAGTGATTGTTTTAGAGAGAGAAAAGGACTAGGAATGAGAAGGTGGAAGATTGAATTTGCAGCGACAGATACTGCTTAACAAATCATAAATACAGTCCATTTTAAAAAATTTAGTGAAAACAAATGCATAAATATTAAAATACAATCCATTTAAAAAAAAACAGTGAAAAAAATGGGAAATTTAGAACGGGGACCTCTACCTTATTGTATGGTTTGGATATAATCTTCAACCTACTTAAATATGAAATTTTAGATTTTCACGTGATCGAAATTGTAAATTTGGATGTTGGGCGGTTATATGCTAAGGTTTTTATTTGTTGTATCACATTTTTGTTACACTTATAATCCTCAATATTTGTTCATCATAGCGTTTATATTCCTAACTTTTTTCTATCATATTCTAATCTTCAACTTTCCAGTAATTAGCACACTTCGTTCTTGATGACGATTTCTGTCAAAATATTTTCTTTTTCATGCTTTGAAACGAAGAAAAATATTTTTTATTGTACTTTTGTATTTATTTATGAAAGTAAATTGCTTTACGCCCTTTGATGGGATTTTTGGATAAAAACTATTATAAGATATAAGATGTGTTAGCTAACGCAAATTGAGCGTAAGAATGTCAAAAAAAGAGTTGGGGATATAAGTGATATAATGAATAAAGATTGATAATTTTAAGTGCACTTAAATTATGGTACAGAAAATAAAAATTGTAGTGTGAATATAATTACCCCAATGTTAAATGATTTAATATTTTTGCTCTCTAAATTGACGATTTTGGTCATGTGACGTGGGATCTAAATTCGTAAATTTTAAATAGCTTGAGGCTTCGAAGCTTCACTTTTGCGAGTCATGACTCGTAATTACACATTTGAAGGTTGGAGAGTACAACTCTTTTTTTTTTTTTTTTGAGTAAAAGTACTACCAAAATTTGATGTATTTACAAATGATCAAATTCGAGTTAGGTAAGGCCACTAATTATTAATTAAAAATTGAATCAAGGTTGTTGAAAAATTTAATGAAAATTCTTAAAGCGACGAACATTGGTTTTTTTTTAATTATTATTAGAATTTGGTCTTTTGCTTATGAAGTGGACTTGTGACCGAATTAGATGTCTCCACCTCACCTAAATTCTATACACTTCTTTTAGGATCTTGTGATAGCGAAGTCATATATCATACTTTGATGAGTAAAATAGTAGTTGAATATAGAGATTTCGAGTATTAAACTTTCTTATTTCTTTCTTCAAAATTGGCTTATCGTACACGAAGATAGTTAATAGATTGACTGAATACAAACTTATGTTCAATGAGGTATGGCAAAGCATGTCCAAACTCTAGGGCATAGAGAGATTCGATGTAAGATAAGTCGATTCTTTGAAACTGACTGGCACATAATTATAACTCACGTCTAAAGTTCACGTCATTTTACAGGTGATTAATTGTACGTACATATACATGATAAGGTTTACGGTCATCTCACGTGTGATCAATTGTACTCACGTGTGATATATATGTATGGAGAAATGATCTAATGAGCACCGGTNTTAGATCATTTCTGTATATGTATGTGCTTATGTTAGCAATCAAAATTAAGCAAAGACACCTATTAAATGCCCATGTACCTAAATTCAGCAAGCAGATAGACTTTGGTTGAACAAGTCAAGTTGGTTGAATTTGCTAATAAGTTACTTATAATCTCATAAAGAAAAAGTAGTAGATCATATAGAATATGTTAATAATAAGAGAGTCATAGAAATGCTAAGAAATTTGTGTGGTATTTTTGTAATTGAGAATATATTAAGAAAATTTTACTTACATTTTTCTAAATATATATATATCCTTACATTGAATAATAACAGTTCATATTTATTGATAACAAAATACATTAAATACGGACAGATTAGAGAATTAAGACATTAATTATACTCTCAACAAAGAAAGTATCCTATAATTTGGGACAAAGAAAAAAAAGAAAGCAAGTCTACTTTTGTGAGATGAGGGGAGTAATTAATAGTTAGAAAACTCTTTACCGTAAAAATAATTAATAGACGACTTTGGAGAGATAAACTTGGGGACATATATTAAATTGTAACGTGTCTCATAACCGAGAATTTTTTTTTTCCTAAATTATGAGGAAAGATTATATCATTTGTCTTAATTCTATATTGTTTTATTTGTTCCCAACGCATTGATTGTACATACTAGGATTTTGAATCAAATATTTAAGATAAGTTGGAAGCTTGAAACCACGTGATTTATGCCATGCATTTGAGTGAGTAAATGGTAGGACCTCAGAGCGCTTTTGACATCAATTATTTGTTATGCTTTATTATGTGTTCTTATTTCTTTTATGTTCATTATTAAAGATTGAGATTCTTGATCATAGTCGATACGATATGTAATTTCATGAAGGTAATAATAGCGGTAGTAACTTTTTATTATTCTTCATACATGATGATAAGCTACCCTTTATGGATGTCTATACGTAAAGACTTTTTATAGACCTTGTTGTGTAAATCTACGTAAGAATATGTAAAAATGTCTTTTAGCAGAGTTTGTTGCTTCTTATCTAGGTTTAGTCTAGTTATGACGATGGGTCAAGTTGGCTTGGCTCGTGACTCACTAACCCAAAATAGGGCTTGGCTCAGTCCATGAGCTCGACTCATGTTAGGCCTAGCCAAGCACTCCATGAGCATCCTATAGGCATTTTCATTTATTTGTTTCAAAAATTTACAATTTTTTATCTTAATTTGTATTTTCTTTTATATAGAAATATGTTAAGTGGTTGGACTTTTCGCCCTTCAATCTCAAGTCACATAAAAATCACATTAGATTTATCATCCATATTGATGCTTTTGGTCACATGAGGACCTAAATTCATGTGTTTACAAGTTTTCGGGGATCCAATACTTCAATTTTGAAGGTTCATGACCCATATTTTCAACATGTGAAAGGTTGGGAGTCCAATCTTATAATGATCCAATTCGAGTTAGGTGAGTCCACTGATTGTCCACAATAATTAAAAGGGTAATTATATTCACATCACAATTTTTATTTCATACATCATATTTTAATTGCGGTTAAACTCCTCAATCTTTGCTCATAGTAACAATTGTTTCCTTAACTTATTCAATCGAATTCTTATCTTCAACCTTTCATTAATTAGTACGTATCGTCATTGACGATGATTTATATAAAAATATTTTTTTTTTTCATGTTTTAAAATGAGGAAAAATTATTTTTTTTTACTTTTTATTTATTTTTTTAAAAAAAAAAATATGATAAAAATAAAGGTTATTTTATGCATTTCCACGTACTTTTGGACATAAAAATATTTTCAAATATAAAATATATTTACTAATAAGAAGTTTGAGGATAAGAATAATATAAAAAATCGTTAGAACATAAGTACTATAATGAGTGAAGATTAAGAATTTTAAGTATAATTAAAATATGGCGTGAGAAATAAAAATTGTGATGTGAATATAATTAATGTAATTTAAAAGGGAGGGTTGAGGAGAATTTGACAACAACGCCCTTAATTAAAAAAGGTTGAACCCCAACCTTGAGGGCTCCCACCGCCCCGTTCTTAGAGCATTGTGGAGAAGGTAAATTACGGGATGTGCATCAGTAGGTTAGGGTACAGAACCGCCATACTGATGTCCACAAAGAGTCCAATTTCATATCTTGTATGAGGTAGGAATCGAACCATCACACTGCAACTGTCAGCTTAGCTGAGACTACCTCACTCCTGTTCTTTGCACTACTGAGCTTTGCCCCGGGGGACAACGCCCTTAATTATGAATGTAGCATAATGGTTAATAGTTAATAATTACATTATAGCTCCAAAAATTAATTATAATTCAACTTCATGTAGTCTCTAGTAAATATAAAAAGAAAATAATTATAAATTTTATTTTTTATTTGAAGTACTTAAAATTATATATTAATCGAATTAAATTTTAATTACTGAAAAATCGAAGCTCATCAATAAAATCTTATTTTTAATCGAGTCTATTTCTCAATAACTTTGGGTTTGACTAATGAATCAATGAAAGTATATTTTTTAAAAAAATTTCTTCCCAATTTTTTTTGGGGGTGTTTTCAAGAATGTCCACAATTAAGGATGTGAGTTGAAAAGTGTCCAATTTTCAAATTTAATA